CACAAAAATAAATAAATAAATAAATAAATAAAATTTGAGGTCTAACTCCATACAAAAGTAGCCTAAGGCTTCAACATATAACATTCACAAAACCTCCAGGTTTCCATCCAAAAGTTCATCCTTAGTCAATTCACTTTGGTAGCGCCGTAGCATTATCTCTTGAAAATTTGTTAGTTTTTGGGATGAGCGCTTGCCCAGTAGGAGATTCCATTAACGAGTTATATAATTAATCGAAACACAAATGATCATGCCTTGCCACGAATGAAATAAGTCTAAGTTTTTTAAAATATGATATAAGATGCTCAATACAAACAACCAGTCTCAATTGGACAATGGGGTGGTAAATATGCTATGACGTCCTAAGCAAGAGCCGCGAACCATACATATACATATATAGATTAATATACAGAAAATATTCCAACATTAGCCGACTCTAAAAAAAACGGAGGGGCGATTGGCACCGAAAACCTTTCCCTTGCACATTTGCTAACTCCTGAAACAACAGACTTGTGGACCCAAAACCATGTTTTTCCACATTTGCCAACTCAAAAAATGGCAGGCTCATGGACACCCAAAAAATCATTCCCATATTCGTCCAGCGATATGCTCGAGACAGGGCAATTGGGTACATTGACCACTCGAGCGGTTACCTAGAACAGATTGTTACATAGGGTTTTCATAAAATGGTGGTGACAAGGCAAGGACCACTGACAAAGAGAAGTTAAAATGTCTAGCAGAAAAAATGTTAGATGAGAGGGGTTGTGAAAGTCACGAGATGGGTGAGAGGGGAAAAACAAGAAAAGGGCCCAATGTGACTTGTCAAAGTTAGGAAGTGTGAGAAAATCTAGAAGTTGCACTTGGTAAATAAATGCTGATTTTATGAAGGACAAAAGGATAAGAGTCATTGGTAATTTATTGTTTGTCATTTTCATTTGGTTATTCAATATTTTGATTTAAACAAATTTTGCTAGATTGAATTTCACAAAAAAAAAAAAAAAAAAAAAAAAAAAAAGAAAGAAGAAGAAGAAGAAGAAAGAAAAAAAAGAGGGTAATTATTATATATAGTTTGCGATATCATCATACGAATTTAATATATGACAAATTAAAATTATGAAACTCTTAGAAAATAATAATGTAGTTTTTGTTTCTAAAAATAAAAATAAAAAGTGCAATTTTATAACTTACCATATTTTTTATTTAATTTTTACTAATTACATTATAATTATGTATTTGTTATTTAGAACTTAAAACAAAGTATTAATGGTGTTAAAACAAAATACATAAGTAAAATTGTGATAAAAATAGTTAAAATTTAATTAATTCTATTTTGAAATTATTAATTAATTATTTATTTGAAACTGTGCATAGCACGTGAATTACTCTAGTAAATAAATAAACAAATCAGGGTTTCCGTACTTAATAAGTCTCAGAATCCAGACTTATCCACTCAGATTTTTTTAGGTGACACTGCATGAAATATGAGTTTTGACGACGTTTTTTTAACGGCGTTTTATGAAACGTCACGTTTTATAATTTTTAAAGACGTTTTTTAAACGCCATTTTTTTTAATATCAAAACAGCACCGTTTCACTATTTGAAGGCGCTTCCTCTCTCTTATATAGGCGAGCTGGTGAATACCCTAGTCACTTACGCACTCATCTGTTTATCGTTCAGTCTCTCATTCGCTCTCTCTCTCTCTCTCTCTCTAAACAGATGCCCTAATCTCTTGCTGACTCATCTATTTATCGATTCATCTCTCACTGATTCATCTCAGAATGATGCAATCTCAACAGATCGATTTCGATTTTGATTTCGAAGTTCTCTCTCTCGATTTCGATTTCGATTTCGAAATTTATGTTTCGGTGATTCTCTCTCTCAATTTCGAAGCCTATTTTGAATCTGAGAATAAAGCCTTTGTAAACCCTTATTTTGAATCCTCACGCCTTCTCTGATTTTGATTTCATCTGAATCTCTGATTTCGAAGCTCCACCGCCACCACCATCTGCATCGACGAGGTAGGTGAGCTCTCTCTCTCTCTCTCTCTCTCTCTCTCTCCAGACATAAACATTGAATCCTCGCGTCGCCTCTCTCTCAATCCTCTCTAAACCCTTATTTTTGAATCTCACATTCAAATCTCACAGATTCATTGATTTCGAAGTTCCACCTCCACCACAATCTGCACCAGCCAGGTAGCGAGATTCACCGATTCACTGATTTCACAGATTCACCGATTCAAATCTCGCAGATTCACCGGTTTCAGATCGATCTGCACCGCCACCGCGATTTCGATTCAGATCGGTCTGCACTGTCACCCGATTTCGATTCTCTCTCTAGATTTCTCTCTCAGAGATTCATCTTTGATTTCATCTTAAAGCGATTTCGATTTCTCTCTCTCTCGATTTCAAAGCTCCACCGCCACCACCATCTATGCAAGCTTCCATGGCTTAGCACCTCATCTCCTTATCTCTTCCACTTTGTATATACATATACATATATGTATATTTATCGATTCTCTCATGTACATACACGTATTTGTATAGACACCGATCGATAATGGAGCAGAGCTTCTTCGATTTGATCTATTTTCTACACTGCCCAGCTCCCGAATGGGTAAAAAGTTATTGATGGAATTTTAGGCAAAATATGTTCCTAATATGGTTGTATTTAGGCATTGTTTCACAGGAGGAAAGGAAGTTCATAAAACAACAATGTACTGCATACAAAATTTGGCAAAAGCTTTCTCAAGCTATGAGGAGGAAGTACTGGTACAGACGACATGCACATCCCTCCATTTAGAAGCATCTATATAGTTTACAGTATTTTTTCAGACCAAACTGATGAGTTTATTGACCTTTGGCCCCTCACCCTTTGTTTTTATTTCAGGTTAAGCGGGAAGAACTGCTTCAATTTGGTCAAGGTGCTATTGCAGGGCTGAAACTAAATTCTGATATTGCAAGGTTGTTAACATTTATTGCCTGCCGCATGAGTTGGGTGTTAAAGTGTCATTGTTTTTCCTTTTAGAATGAAGTTTACATATATTTGTCTTAGATTCAATATGTAAGTGTGAATGTGCATGTGCCCATATCTATTGAGGTGTGTTCCTGTGTCTACCAAGGGGGCAGTTCTCCCATATGCTTTGACTATACTAATGTTGTCCTTGTAATTGGTAACTTATTAGTTTTTTGTTGTACTTATGGAAATGTTGATTTTTTGAGTTTTAGCTCAGGTTGAAGTTTTCTTTTTGATACATTAGATTTTTTTTTTTTGCGGCCATGTGCATGTACATTATTATCGTGCAAGTGATAAAACTAAAATTGTAATTCTTTTCGTTCCCTTGTTTTGTGATCTCCTCTCATAATAGATTTCGAAGTCTTAGACATACATAAAATTCTAGATGGAGAGAAGCCCAAAAAGCCCTCAACTGAAGAAACAATTGTTGCACCAGTAGAGGTGAGATTGATTCAATACTCACACACATCTAATAGTGAGATTACATATCTGGGCCAATTACTGATTTGAAAAAACCTTTGGAATGATTGTAATGTTTTTGGATTTTAATCTTTCAATACTACAAGCGACACTTGAAATTGTTATTCTAATGAAATAAAATCAATCTATGTGTTGTTCTTTTATTTAATAGAAAAGTTACTAGAGTTCTATTGTTGATCATTAGGTTCATTTTGAATGAGTTTTAGGTTTACTAAGTTTATGTTTGTGTGTGTATATATTATATACGCCTTTTGAATTAGGGAAAATGGTAAAACTCATAAAACCAAATGGGTTTTTTGTTTTTCCTGTAGGCTTTGAAAGAAGCCTTTGAACAAGTTCAACTGTGTTCCAGGCTGGAGGAACTTTTACTAAAGAAGAAACTCTTAAACAACGGGGATTCTCCAGAGATTCATGCAAAAAAGGTATGGTTTTCCTCTTGATGACAGTGTTTTCTTGGGTTCCGCAAGTAAGTCTGCCCGTCTTAAGAAATGTGGTTTGTCTTGTTGACGTAAGCATCCCATCTGCCAGGCATATGTGATTTGGACATTGTGTTATCTTTTCATAAAACATACTTCATCATTTCTCAAAGTTGATTGTGCAGTTGGGCAATGATTAGATTTGTTTATATTCTATGCTTATTTAAAAACATACTTCATCATTTCTCATTTTCACTGTGTTTGATTAATATGCAGGTTGATAAATTAAAATTTTTATCAGAATCGCTTGCTAACTCTGCTTCAAAAGCTGAAAAGCGTATTTCAGACCACAAGTTATTAGCTTTACCTATCTTTATTTGTTTTTGTATAGTAGTGCACCTCTTCCAAGAATGCGTACCACACCTCGAAATAGTTCTTTCTTCCTTGACATATGAAAAGAAAGAGCTGGGAGGTGGATTACTGTTGTGGTCTTATTAGCTACATGCCTACAAAGATTTACCTGAAAGATGCATTTACATATTTCAAGGCTATTAGACATGTTCTTCAATTAGTGCAATTTTTTACAACTCTAAGAAACAAAAAATAGAAATCTAAATTTCTCAGGGATAGCTTGGAGGTTTTTCTGACATCTAATTTTATTGGCTGATGTTATGGATCACAAACATCTAATTCCCTCCTTTCCCAAAAGAAGATGAAAAAAGAAAAGAAAAGAAAAGAAAAGAAAGGAGAAGAAAAAAAGTGAGAATATTTTTATTAATACTGTTTATAAAAGCACCTATAATGAGGTGCATCGTTTTTCATGTTTCTGACTAGTAATGTGTGCTTCAGGTCAAGGATCGTCGTTGATTATATGTGTGGGAATATTGACTGGCTACACAGATACATTATACAAGGACTTGAGTGGTAAGACACTACTTTAGCTTCCAAAACTCTATGGTGCAGGCCATAGACAGGAGAGTTACAATATGTACCTCTTCTGGATCACAATGATTGACACACTAGGGCAGAGCCTTGTTCTCTTCTATGTACTTTTATTCACCTATAGGGAGAGCACTATTGACATATGGAGCATGGGAAGTTTGTGGACGATTGCAGTTGTTATCCTAGTTAATATGCACTTGGCAATGGACATTAAGCGGTGGTTGCTACTTACTCATTCTTCAGTTTGGGGATCAATAATCATTACTTATGCCTGTGTGGTGGTATTGGATTCTATACCCATCTTCCCCAATTACGGGTTAGTGTTTTGATTCAAATAGGACCACTGCATATTTTGTCCATTTCACAATGTGGAGCTAATATGTTTTTTTGTCTTCATCAGGACAATATACCATCTGGCAAAGTCACCTGCATATTGGCTCTCCGTCTTGGTTATAATAGTCTTAGCATTACTCCCTCGCTTTATTTGGAAAGTTATACATTAAAATTTTTGGCCTTCAGATATCCAGATAGCTAGAGAAGCTGAGATACTGAGAAAAGAACCTAATTATTTTGGGTCTAAGCCAGATCCAGGTTCCAGTTAATATGTATATACCTTCCTTGCTCTCTGTCTCTGTGGTTGGAGAAAAATAATTCTCACCTATGGGCATGAGCTTTCTCGAACAGTAACTAGCCATATGTTAAACCCCATGGTCAACCCATTTTCTCACTTTCATCATCATCATCTTTCTCTTTAATTGAATTCTGCACTTGTGTGTACATATCATGTTAAATATGTAAATGTCTAATTAGTATATCTTGTTAAAAGAAATATGTACTTGTGTATACATATATATATATATTAGCATTTGGGCCCATGCAATGCGTAGCAATTCATTTTGGTCCTCTTTTTTTTTGTTGTAAAATTCATAATATGAATTTCTATTTCTGTTTAAATAGAGATATGGTTGAGGGTAGGCAATTGAAACTGTCATGATTTTTCTTTGAACTTCTGTGGCAACTTGATATTTACATGTTTATCCCTTTTATGATGAAAAGCACAGACATATGGCATGGTTTTTCTGGACAAAGAGGTAGCGTGACGGACCTTAAAATATGTGTTCACATTATATTATATAATAATATAAATAGTATAGATGTATGTATTGTAAGTTCAAGGAAACTTATACCATGAGAAATAACACACAGATTTCATGATAAAATGGGCAGTTCAGAGATCAGTCCTTATGTAATAGATATGCCTCCTGCTTCCTCCGTAGTGTGGAAGCAGTCACATTTAGCTGGACCCATTTTAATGATTTTTATTTTGCCCTGCAGTTCATATGAAAGTGACACAAGCTGACATCATTCCAATTGGATTTAGCATTTAAAATGACACAAAGGGAAGAGAGGGAAGTGCAGATCCGAGGGGGAATGCAGAGCCGAAGGGAGGGTGAGGATTTGGTTGATATACTAATGATAAGATGGTCTGGTCGGGGAGGAAAAATGGGGGGAAGAGTGGGATAGAGTTCTTTTAGGATTTTGTTGATATTTGTGGGGTTTACTATTGGAACTAGCATATAAGCAGAATCTGTAGTCGGAATTTCATCAAGGTAAATGTCAGGAGTACCAGTAGAGAAAAACAAAAGTATTATAATAGTTTCAATTAGGATGAATTGATAGAGACTAACTAGTTACTTCATGGATGCCTATTGTACTTTCAATTGTGCCTAAGTCCCTTATTGTTATCATGGCATCCATCAGGCAGTCTTCCTACCACATCATGTAGCGGTAATACATCACATGGCTCAGTTTCAACTGGTACGTATAAGTTTTTGACTTTTTAGTAGTATTTGTATAGTATACTTCAATTGAAATCAAATGGACATGACTATCACAGTTTATTTGTTTATTTGTTTGATCAATTACAGAGAATTTTATTAATCATTAAATATGATTTTATATTATTTTTGGTGATTGATCTCCTTGTGCCATTGTGCGATGTGTTCATTGTTTTGTTCAATTACGAAGGAATCTTATCATGACAAATTGACAGCTTGTCTCAAACCACCCCCACTCCCTCTCTTACTTTTGCAACTGCTTGTCTCTTACTACATCAGCATAATTTGCCAATGCCTGAACTCTCCTCTAAAACCTCTTGATATGCTGCCACTCCTATAACATCAAAAGGATTTGACCCCCATCAAATGCATAGAAATATTACAGAAACTAGTGGGGTGGCACTCATGTAATGAGTGCAAGTGCCACAAAGAACCACTAAGTCAGCCAATTTTTGAACAATAGTGCATAGAGAGAGAGAAAGAGGTGTACTATTATTTTTCATGCTAATCAAACGAAGAAATAATGTCCTTCACATTTTCCAAACAAAAGGCCTTAAGGTAAGTTTCATGATGTTTCATCCTATTTTTCATGTTAGTTACGATTAGAGTTGTGCAAAATACCGCCCAATCTGTTAAAACTGCACCGATCTGCATCAATTCGTACCGCTCTAACCGCTAACCGCGGTTTAAATTTTAAAATTTATAATCCGCCAATCGAACCGCTCCGCTATAGTTAATACATATATATTTTTTAACTTCCAATGAAATATCAATGTAAAAATGAGTGTGAGAGAGATTTAA